TGACAAAGGTGGGGTTGGTGTGACGGTTATCAGTCATGATAGTGAGAGCAGAACTTATGTTGGGAACATTCCTGGATGTAGCAGTTCAGGATGTTACAGTGAAGATGTGCGATACACTGGAGTCAGCACCGCTCAGCTATCAGCACTCACTCGAGTCTCACAGAACTGTGAACAGTTTATCAAATTTGAGTGCAATAATGACATAAATTTTATTGAGGAGAATTTTGCTTGGTGGGTGTCACGTGGTGGAACACAGATGAATTACTGGGGAGGAGCTACAGGTCATGACAAGATGTGCGCATGTGGAGTAACAAATTCTTGTTCCGATGGTAAGAAGTGTAACCGTTATAACAGTGGCAGAGGCTGGAGAGAGGACAGCGGTTTGTTAACTGCTAAGTCTGTTCTGCCTGTGACACAAATCAGACTCGGAGATTTGAATGCCCATGATGAAGAAGGATATCACACATTAGGAAAACTCAAGTGTTATGGTGTGGCATAAGATTTCATCGTTTCAGTTACTCCGCCACTAAACACAATGCAGCAAGTGTAATTACCAACAGTTGTTATGTGAGTGGGAGGCAACTGATCCTTTAAACAAAAAAACACTGATCCTTCTGACATTTTAGTTTCGTCAGTTACATCTTAGGGACTAAGAACTGTTAAATACCTGATTATTTCGAATTCTTATTTTTTTTAATGAGATGACGGTATAATTTGTATTTTTCGGAGCCTCATACTAAGTAAATACACAAGGCAACGGGCTAAAAAAAAGCTCGACCCTATTGTTAAATCTGTGTTAGCTTTCTACTTTCCTCGCAAATTTAATTTAACGCGACTGATCCTGTGAACGAAAAATACTAATCCTTCTGACTATTTAGTTTCATCAGTTGCATTTTAAGAACTGTTAAATAAGTAGCCGCCTATTTATAATTTTTGTTTTATAGACGGTGACCACATAATTTATTTTCTTTTTCGAAGCCTCATACTAAGAAAATACACAAGAGGGCTCGGCCCTATTTGCTAGAATAATCTTCTCAGCCCTTCTACAAGTGGCAGTATTTACCCCAATGTATACCAAATCCTCTTATGCTGAACGTTATGTCTCTTTTACCAGTGATATCGTTAGCGGCAAGGCGTTTACAGAGCTTTAGAAATGTGTGTTAGCTTTCCTCTTTCCTTACAAATTTAAAGTAGTATTGGAGTTCCTAGAACTGATCAACGTTACTCGGCCAGACTTAGGGGAAAGGGGGGAAAAGGACACTGCTACTCTCTATCACAGACTCTTCTCGTCTGGCTGAAAAGTCAGGACGTAAAAAAAAAACCAGTGAAAATGTTATTGATGTTAGCGCACCGCGGGGATCTCTTGGAGTGACGTCGGAGCGCCGCGTGAACTCCATGAGTGAGGCGCTTTCCCCGTCGAGATCAAAACATGTCTTTTCTTTTCTAAAATTAATTCTTCACTTGACCTTTAGCTTTCCACCAATAACCTAAAAATATGTTGTATAAAAGTGAAACCATAGCTCAGTAATATGGGTTTGAATCAAATCCAGTAAAAACTGAGGAAACCACATAGGGTCAGACTGAAGGATGAGATGATCAAAACAATTGTTTGTTAGGATCAAATGTCAAAGAATCTGAGCTGCCAATCTACTCCGATGACGATCTGTTTGCTCTGTTTGGTATCGTTCTGATTTGAAAGCATAATATTAAAAATAGCATTTTTCACAGTTATTATGACCCTTTTTTAGCCTTCAGGGCCAGACTGAGGAAGGGTGGAAGACTGGTTGTCTATAATCTCTCGTGACCAATATGACAGCCCTGAGAGAGGCTTGGGTACAAAAAAAAGGAATTGCTATTTTTTCGTCAGCATCCTTTGAAATATAAATATCTGAAAGGTCAACTAAAGAAAGGGACTAGTCCAAAGTCTAAGGTTCTAGATATACCAGATCGTTATTTCTTTCCAGTCACGCCGTGACACCTTGAACATGGAAAACAACGTCAATTATGAAACTGCTTAAATTTCACGTGATGTAGGTCATCAATTTTTCCTAATGGAGATGTTTAGAACACTGGGGAACCAAAAAGACTGTGACAACTTCTCAGTTACAATTGTTAACATCTTACGCTAACCAGGAGATTTCTAACAGCAATTGATGAAATTTTGATTAAGGAAGATACGAATTGTGACCAGTGCAAGATGATACTGAAAAACAAGTTCACTGTAAGGTAAAAACTATATGCCACGCAACGCCTCGCTGGGACTTTAAATGGTAATCTTAAGCTGCTGAAGGAGGTGATGAAACTTTAATTTAAAAGATATAAAACGTGACCAGGGAATATTGACTAGAACTCCATACCCACAAGTAATATCTCGCTGTGATTATAAATACGTGTGTTGCACTCTGTTAAAGACACTATTTTTATGCTTGACAGAACTTAGCTAACTTTCGTCGTCCGTTTCGCGATATGGAGAAATAAAAGATAAAAACCAATCTCTAACTCTCTGGTGTTTTCGACGCTATTTCTCTTCGTTGTTTGCTTCGCCGGACTGATTCACGTCGAGATCGAGCTGCACGCTCATAGACAAATGCTTCAAGTCTTGAATCAACCAACAGACGAAAAAGTCGTGCTGAAGAACACAGCAAATGACGAAAAGACGAATGAGATAAATATTTTATACCCTTGCTCAGAAAAAGGTGGGTTTAAGCACATAAAAATTAGAAGAGTAGAACGACTTTTGACTAGAATTATTTACTTCAGGGCTTAAGAAACCCTATAAAAATTGAACTGCAATTTTGAAGAATATATCATTTGAAATTTGTTTACATTTTCGTCTCCATGTTCTTTCATGTGTATCTTTGAGTTCAAAGGAAGTGGCTTTCAACTAAAGCAAAATGTTTGGATACTTCAAGCTTCGTAGTAATTAGCGGGAGAAAATTATCCATGACATAAAGTATCTCAAGACAACGAATTTCAAAGCTTCTTTGAAGAAGCTCAAGGGGTTAGGCATGGTTTTTGAAGATAAAAAGCACCGCTTTTTCTGTCTTTTAATAAGCGCACATCATCCTTATTTCAAAGGATAAT